CAGATGAATTAAAGCCAAAAATATGTGCCAGATGAATTAAATGGAAGAAATACGTGGCAGATGAATTAAAGCCAAGAAATATGCGCCAAAGAATTGCATCAAAGGCAAGAAGTATGTGCTAGATGAATTAAAACTAAGAAATATGCGCCAGATGAATTAAAACTAAGAAATATGCGCCAGATGAATTAAAGCCGAGAAATATGAGCCAAAGAATTGCATCAAAGCCAAGAAATATGTGCCAGATGAATTAAAGCCAAGAAATATGCGCTAGATGAATTGCAGTAGCAGTAGTAGTAATAATAATAGTAACAGTAGCAATTTCTGATCTATACGATTGATATTTATTCAAAGAATTACAAATAACTCATATATGATATCCATCGATTAGGCGCAATTATCCGTTGATAAGCAATGTATGCATTACTTATCGTTATCATAAAATAATCACTTATCATAGGATAATTTTGATTGAATCTTCAATCTTGAAAAAATAACTTTTTAATTTCTTATTACTTATTTTCGTTACATATGTAAAAAGAAAAAAGGTTATATAAAATTTGTCAATTTACTATTGACACATTACTTGAATGAATTATCAAAAAGAAATTAGATTTAAATCAGAAATTTCGAGAATTACATAAAATTAGATGGAAAAAATTGCATGGTATTAAATGATCGATTAAACAGAAATATTACTTTAATAATAAGTATTTCATTATTCCATTATTTCTAATCCCTTACATAACAATTTAATAAATATTGTATTAATTAATTGATTTCGTGATTTTTCCGCCAACACATGCAATGGTCACTTATCAATTTTTAACATTTCTTCTTTGCAATGCCAAACTACAATTTTCTGTTCACTCGAAAATTCTGCAATCATAAAATCACACATTTATCACTGACATATTATTCACTTATCATTCACTTATCACTCATATATTACTCACATATCACCCACATATCATTCATATCATTCACGTATTATCACACTTCTCTTTAATGTAATTAATTTCTATTTTTGTGCTAAATTTATAAAATGGAGTAAAAAATTTTTTCATATTGAAACTAACTGTATGTCATTTGTCACCTTGTTACCAGTAATTCATTAATTATAATTTGTCATTGGATAAGGATGTAAATAAAACTATCAAATGATATTAAATCAGCTGCTCTTCCTTTTCTATCTTTGCTTTTCTTTGCATACCATTTCCGCGCTATGACAATATAATGTAAAGACTATGGATGTTATAATTAGCGCAGGTGTCCGATTGGATTTTTGATTTAGATGAGAGGAGGATTTCTTGTTTTTCAGGATGACGTCTTTTGCGGCTTTTCGTTTATACCACTGGACATTATAAATGGCCAGGTGCTATCTGTAGTTGCTTATGCTTTCAGTTTTACTATATAATGCTTTATCTTTCTAGGCCAGCTGTACCAATTTTACGTATATTTACAATGCTTTACACCTTTTTTTTTTCTTTTTTTTTTTACTATTTGATAATTAAATTTGACAATAAAATAACATACCTTTGGGAGAAGGAATAGAGGGGGGGGGGGGAAAAAAAAAGAAAAAATTACTGCGACAATATGACACTTTATAAATTTGATCAAAATTAACTTTTCAAAGTTTTTTTTTTATTTGAATTTCAACACTTTTTCTATTGCTATAATTATCATAAAATTGATACTTCTAATCTTTTCACATTTTTCTTTATTTAAAAAAAAAAAATTGCTAATAATAAGCTTATCAGTGTCATTTTTTTTAGCGGTACAGATTTAATGACTATCCCAATGTATCATCCTAATTTACCATCAGAATTCATCCATCCATCCATTTCATTGTATAGTTA